GAGAAGGCACGCTCTTGCAACACGAAACTCTCTGGAAAAACAACTCATGAGTTGTAGAAAAACAATGCCTCGCTGACTATCTCTCCAAATTACTGCTGGGGTAAAACATTTACCTTAAAAAAAGGCACTGGTAATGCTTCAGAAAACATTCCTCAGTTATTAAACCTGTTTGAAGGGGTCTGGCACAGAAGGGTTGTGTTTTGAATCCTAGGGATGAGAAGTAATGGGCTGAAGTTGGAACAGCCTTCCATTGGGTTCAGTATAGGATTAATCACATTGTCCAATTGAAAATAATTACACATCCCCACTAAAAAGGATGACTTTTTTGTAGTGATACTGTCAGTCAGTCTTATCAAGTGACCTACAGCATGTTACAAGCTAGGATTTTACAATGTGAAAGAGTGATGATGGTGACATGGACACAGTAGGAACAGAGAGGATATATTAACTTTTATTTTGTTCGGGTAGGTGTCACGTGAAGGACAAAAAGGATTACAAGGTAGTCATTATGCAGGCAATTAAAATGTGAAATTAATAGAGCTATGCATTTCATACTAAGCAAAAAAAACGCTGAGACAAGCTCATCTCTTGCACAAAAAGACTTCAAAAGGCTTGAAAACAACAGACTTTCAATTTACAGTGGATTAAATGGTTCTGTGTGATAGCAGTCACCTTGTACTTACCAATGCCATCAGGTAAGACCTGAAGTAAATTCTGAGAAACAAGCAAGTCTGTTAAAGAAGTCAGACCACTAATTTCTTCAGGAAGGCATTCCAATTTATTTTCAGAAACATCCAGACAAAGCAGGTTTTTCAGGTTTCCTACTTCCTGCGATACAACACAAAAATTTTAAGTCATGCCCAAACACGTAACAAAGCAATTTGAAAAATGCAACATCACAAGGAAATTCCAGAAAGAAAAACAATTCTCTGTATGACTTCTAAATTGGCCATTCTTTGTAGGACCTCTAAATGCAGGGGAGAAGTAAATAATTACATTTTACATATTGTAAACCAACCAAGTGATTCAGTCACAGTTTCTTATTATAACTATTAAGACGGGCTTTAGTAGTCAGACAAGGTTTGCTGAGCACACCCAGGCAAGCATCAGCCAAAACTGGAGTTTTCCTCAAGTAAAGACGCAAAGTTGTTTTTTCAGAACTACAGATTATCAACCTCCACGTAATTAAAGTCTGCCCCTCCCAATTAACCCTAGGCAAATTAGGATTAGTTTCTCCTGGCTGATACAGCAACATGCCATGACATCTAGGGATTTCATATCTTCACATCTCCCGACTGCAACAAATGTAGAAATAGGAATTGGGAGTGTTGCTCTAGCAAGCATATTTGAACTGCCAAGTTATACTGCCATCATCTACAATTATTAATGATTACTTAATTTTTTTTACAATGGTAATCCGCCAATTAGTTCAAGAGTCTGACAGAGAAATACCTTTGTTCCTATTAGCCATCAGCGCACCCTCCTATTCCCCATGTACACAGACACCCCTATACATGCTCTACAATAGTTCTCATTTTAGTCATCCAAATCGTCTTTCAGAGAACAGAATGACTGGAGTAGAAGTGTCCTTTACTTTTACATATATGAAATTTTCAAGCAGTGACAGCCTTGATCCTAACTCACAAGATCAGTCCTTTTATTGTGGAAATATTTGCATCTCAAAAAGGATCTTTCATTAAACACACACACACCCTTTATCCTACAAGTTCATCTTCTGGACATTAGACAACTTACACAATAATCACCAGCTTCAATAAAAACAGCTGCTGAAGTCACATGTGACCTTTTCATGAATGATTATCAGTGTTTAACTATATGTACTTAAAAATTATTAGGCCAAGCCAACAACAACAAAGCCGACAAAGCCTACTAAACTGTAACTGATTTCCAAGTTACACTGTTGACAATGAGATCAATACAGTAAATAACAGCAAACTGCATGAGGAACAAGGTAAAACAGGTTTTGACTTGAGTCTAAAGAAAAAAAAAGAGGGAAAAGAAACCATCCCACATGTTATCACAGTTCTTAAGAAAGAGAATTTAGAGTGCTGTAAGCTTTAAATGCTAAGGCCCCTCATCTCATGACTGATGTCAGATGGGGGATTTGCCTGCATAAATCAAAATTTCTATTTATGGCAACAGTTCTATTATTGTACTTCTCCCAAACACTGTATTTGAATGGAAGACTCAAAAAAAAACCCCACAATTCATCCTCAAAACTGACAAAATTGCAATTTAGATAGATATAAAAGGTGAGGGTTAGCTCAGCCAACTAGTGGCTCCTTGATCACTGCACCAGGATTGTAAACAGAGCATGTGTCATGCTATAACTGAACAATGTGTCTATTAGGAAACAATTCCTCTGTCAAAACGTATTAAAAAAAAAAAAAGTCTGACAACATATGATATCATGTACAATCCCTTGCAGAGGAACTTAAGAGAAAACCCTTACACATTCAAAACCAAACTCAGGCAAAGTGAACTCAGAAAACTATTTAATTTTAGATCGCCTTCCTTTAGGTATGAAAGAAAAGGTTTTCTTTTAAAAGCATCTTCAAAACAGTATCAGTAGGGCTCATCTTTACCTGAGGTATTTCGGCTAATTGGTTTCCATCCAACCAGAGGTCTTTAAGATTGAAAAGTGCACCAATTGTTTCTGGCTATAACATAAAAATAATAATGTTAAGTAACATAGGAGCTTCAAGTAAAAATCAAACGGCCACCCCAAAATTACAGTCCGAGTAAACCAATCCTTACTCCAAGCACTATTTAGAGGTACCATGGTTAAATGCAGCACGGGTGACTGTAAGCATTTGGGAACTCCATCATACAAACTAACTGCTCTGGCTTAACAAGCTGCCACACTTTACGTGACATGCACTAACAAATTGCACTCGTGATTTACTGCAAATCCAATGTTTAATCGTCAGCTTAAGGGAGATGACAGATATCTTTTGGTAGAACTATCTGCCACAACGTCAGACACTGCGATCTTCAACAGTTTGCCTCAGTCCTTTCCCAAAGATTCCTATTCCCATCCTGGAAGTAGCTGAGCTTTCATCTCTGTTCAGCCCATTCAGCTCCCTAGAGAAGCCCATGTGTTCATTGTAACTGCAAGTCCAGACAAGAGTTTGAGTCCTTCTACTCCTTTCTCTTTCCGTAGAAAAAGTCTGTGCAGCGCTCTCAGTTTCTAGAGATCAGCTGCAGTTTTTTGGGTAAAGTAATATTGTACTGAAAAAGACTAAGCAGATACGGGAAGCATCGACTCTGCCAAAATTCACCTATACATATAAAAAGACTCTCCCTCCATACGTTTTTCTTTCTTCAATTTTGGACATCCTACAACCTATTTCATCTAAATGATGCGTAAAACAAGACCAACAAGCACTTTCAGTGGCATGTTCTCTTACCAAGTGATAAAGTTCATTGTTTCCTAAATCAAGTTCTTCTAGTCGCTGCAGCTGGGCAAGTGATCTGTGAGATGAGATAAGTCAAAACAAAACCACATCAGACTAAACCAACAGAAACCCCATGTATTTGAATGAGCTCATTTTACTGAAACTCATATTTCAAATTACAGCATATTGTAGACAGACAGTTATTTTACTCGGCATAGACTACTTGCAGTAATACCTTCCTGAAAAAGTGATTTGGTTTGTCAGTATAACTATATGCCTTTGAAACTTAAAACTTAGTATAGGCGATCAAATCATTACTCCTTATTTTCACCTCGGGGTGGACAATGCTACATAGTTCAGTATAGTTGGCTAGATTTTTTTTTTAGGGGGAATTTACAGTTATGCAACTGGACAAAAATTCCCCATAGTAATCACATGTAACGAGTGTGACTCAAGACTCAATAAATCCATCATTTATCTTCTCTACATGATCTAACCATTTCTGAAGTATTTCGGGTTGGATTTGAGGATGCAAAGAGGAAAGTCCAAAAGGATTTAAAAGAAGTTCTCTGAACATGAAAAGACACAGAGGGCCATCCTTATACCTCAAAGCAGCCTGTTGTAGAACTCTTGCATACCTTCCCCAAAGCCGCTGTGGCACGAAAGCCAGCGAGACTCATCAGCTACATTACTGACAGTCAGAATTTTCCAGGAGCAATAAAATTGTCCACATCTGTGACAGCTTCATTCTGACACCACATGGAAAAACCCAGCTAGCAATTCGTATCTTCTGATCACTGACATTTAAAAGTGCCTTGTGGCTCACAGCTATAAACAGCCACAATCGAGGTACTGTGTGGACTGACAGTAAAAAAGGACCCCAAAGCAAGTGGGGAAGAGATTCTGATTAAAACAGGTTAAACCTATTACAGTATCTATTAATTATCTAAACAAGCAGAATAGGAGTCATCAAAACTCTTGCAAGAAGCAGCCAGGCAGTGAAGCAAGGCACCCAAAAAGGAGCCCCAATATGTAAGATATTCAATTAATCTTATGAAAAATCACCGATTCCCCTGCCACAATACAGACAGCATGGAGACATCTAGACATCTTCTTTTCCCCCAAAATCCTAGTGGGTGGAGTCAGACTTCAGACATCAGTAGGCCTAGTTTGTCACCCAAGGCTTTGATCTCCAGGTTTTGGAAGCTTTTGGTGACTTAGCCCTAATGCTAAATGCCCCAATGCTATGAAGGTCTGGAGTGGAAATCTCTGAGATCCTATTACCCTACTTTCACAGTTACGAAAC